CCCCAAAACCCCAAAACCCCAAAACCCCAAAACCCCAAGTTTCAGAATTTTGGTAGAATTTGTAATATTTTAAAATGGAGTGGTACTGGACTGCCTTATTGTATACCAGCTCTGCATATGTCTCGGTTGGGTTAATTCTGTTCATTTTCCCAATCTACCGACTTCGGAATCCGATCAAGATTAACACATCCAGGAACGGAATGATTATCGGTACCCATCGGGGAGGCTCTTGGGAACGAGTTGAGAATACCTTGCCGGCTTTTAGGCATTCGCATCGACTCGGAATGTAATTTACAGTTTCACCTTATAGGGACTTGTTTGAGCTAGATGTTCGTATGACCAAGGATAAGCAAGTAGTAGTACATCATGACAAGAGTCTGGTCAGACTCACTGGAGTTGAAGCCGATGTTGAAGATACTAACTATGCTGATCTCCCTCCATGCATGGAGGAAGTTAGGCTTCCCACTTTTGAAGGGACTTACAAACAAAAGCCAGGCCAGGATGATGGTAAAATCCCACTTTTGAAAGATGTTTTTGAGGAATTCCCTGATTCTGTTATGAATATTGACCTTAAAAATGGAAGCACAGAGCATCTCTCTGAAGTCTATAAGATGATAGTGGAGTACAAGAGAGAAGATATTACATATTTTGGTAATATGAATGATAAAAAGAATCTCCAAGCCCAAGAAATGGGGAAAGAGGCAGGCATACGCTCATTCGCCTCTATTAAGTACACTATTAGGACAGTTATTTTGTACCTTTTGGGACTTTTGCAGTTCTTTCCTTACAGATATCACATGATATGGTTCCCTTTCTTTGGCCATAAGTTCCGAACTGAACTTTATGAGCACTTTGGGAAAAAGCCTATGATCTGGGTTGCTATAAAGCTTTATTCCTGATTGACACCATTACTCAAGCCAATGTTCTGGCATCTGAGGAAAAGAGGAGTCACCGTCATGTTTTACTCTATAAATTCCGAAGATGAGGTGATTCGGGCTAGAAATTATCCAATAGATGGCTTTATAACAGATGCTCCAGCCAAGATTAGGAGCGCACTTGATTCTCTTAACGGCAGGGTCGATACAGATGAACATCTTCTGGAGACAAGCAATAAGAAGAATGAATAGATATTTTTGTCAGCCATATTTCAACCTTAAATATCTTTGAAGGGGTTTTGGGGTTTTGGGGTTTTGGGGTTTTGGGG